AGGCTCTTCATCGCTGTTCAAAACAACAATTAAGTCATTGATCTCTCTGACTATTCTACTTTTTGTATAATATAAATATGAACTCTTAACTTCGTGTGTTTTACTTTTATCATAACTTTTCGGCTGTTGCGTTCTTCAGCCTTCTTCATCTCTGATATTATAAGCAATGTTGCCCTCTGTGTCGTCTCTGACTTCTTGAGGTCTATCAGCAATTCTCCAGCCCCGAAAGCTGACACACACTGAACGAAGCTAGCTATTTTCACCTCTGCTATTTTGAAGACATTTCAGCCGACGCATTCTCCAGCCTTTCAATGTTATCTGGTACACTCGTATAGGGTTCATCTAAGCTATTCACTTTAGAGCTCCATTCGTGCGTTTCAAATCTTTTGGCTTTCATATTTTGTATTGGGGTCATTCAATGAGGGAAGCCCACATACAAATTTTGAACTACCATTAAACCTGGAGTTTACTAGCTTTTCATTTTTTTTTTTTTTGATCTTTTCTTTTGGTTTCGTTTTTTTTTTTATTAAGTTTTTTTTTTTTAGAAAAATGCGTTGCTCATTTGCTTGAAGGTTTGATCTGAACACCTGTGCAACTGTAAACGTTTCTTTTCACCCGCCATCTTGCCTTTCTTTCATGTATCACAGTTTTAGTACAGATTCTTCTCACTGACCTCCCATCAACTCTGACATGATGGCGTCCCATACGTCAACATTGTCCCTCTAACTTCTAAGATGATGCCCACAAAACTTTCAAGGAATTAATCGCACTCAAGTAGAAATCAACACACCACAACGTACTTTTACTAGAAAATATTAGATCGAAAAGAACGTCCTATTGTATTTTTGACTTGATCAACTTGAGGGTACTTTTCAAATTGAGAGTATATTTTCTATTTTCAACTTACGTCAAAATAATCATTAATATTTACGAACTGTTTTTCCCCTTTTTGTACAGATTTCTTAATATCAGAGTAAATAAATTTTGTATTGATTTAAAAAAGTCAAATCAAGGCAGGGTGGAATAATGGTTATCAGCTCGGATATATATATATATATATATATATAGATAGATAGATAGATAGATAGATAGATAGAGAGAGAGAGAGAGAGAGAGAGAGAGGTATTCTCCGATTAACGCCAATTCAGCCGGGTTTCGATTCTAGCTGGCGGCAACCGGACATATAGCCAAACTGGTGAGCTGTGATACAGCGAAACAGTCTGTCTGTGAACGACAATATATATATATATATATATATATATATATATATATATATATATATATATATATAGTGAAAGAAAATAAACAGTCAATTGCTGATATCCTCTGCCGAGAGAAAGGAGTGATTGCTGGAGTGTCCGTTTACGAAACTCTAGGGTCGGGATGCTGTAGATAACACTAATTAGCTAAGTAACGAAATTTATATTTGTATAAATTCTATACATGTATGTATGTGTGTGTGTGTGTGTGTGTGTGTGTGTGTGTGTGTGTGTGTGTGTGTGTGTGTGTGTGTGTGTGTGTGTGTGTGTGTAAAAAAAACAAAAGATATCTTAACATACAGTTATGGACAGAATTATTTCACCCCCTTCTATAATTATAAATAAAACTGTAATACCTCAAATTAATGGAAACTTCATGTGCATTTTTTCACAAATAATGGATTTTATAAAGAACGTGTAGTGATGCCCACAACACAATTTTTATTCTTATGCCAAACTATAAAACAAACACCAAAAAACATTTAACATAGGACAAAATTATTAGCCCTCTTGTTTCCATAATCAATTGTGTAACCTTTCTTTTCGATTATTGCCTTTAATCACTTTTGATAGTTCCTGCCAAGATCATTACACAGCCTGATAGGTATTTTGCTCAATTCTTCATTGGAAATAGCTTCTAGTTCCTCCAAATTCAAAGGACTACTTTCTCTTAGTTTTTTCTTCAAATATGGGGTTTAAGTCAGAACTTTAAGCAGGTTACGCTAATACGTTAACTTTGCTGTCATCTAAGTATTCCGTGCCGTGTGTTTAGGGTCATTGTCTTGTTAGAACGTCCAGTGACGCCCCAAAGACAGCTTTTGTCCACTTTGTTTTATACTATTTTTAAGAATAGACAAATACTACTCTTTATCCATGATATCCTGTCATCTCACTAGTTCTTCTGGTTCAGAAGCAGGAAAACATCCCCAGAGTAGAATGAACCCACCATCGGCCTTAATTGGAGGGAAGATATTTTTGGGTGTGTGAGCTTCATTCCCTTTTCTTCATAAATAACGGGAGTTCATGCGACCAAATATTTCTAGTTTGGTTTCATTTGACCATAAAACAGGGTTTCATTATTGACTCCCATGTTCTAGATGGCTTCTAGCATAAGCTAATCTGCATTTTAGGAGTTTAGCCTTAAGCAAGGGAGTTTACCTTGGGCAACAAGCTCAAAGTCTTGCTCGAGGAAAGTATCTACAGCCTGTCTGAAGTTATTATAAAAATCAAATAAAGTTCATTAACACAAAAAGTTCTGAATCAATATTTGTCAAATTTAAACTCATCAATTTCCACCTTTAGTAAAATATTTAACTAAATTTGCTGCCATTTTTAATGGTTAGTTTTTGAGATATTTCGAATTTACGGAAATTTACTGAAGTCAGTATACAGATTAAACTAATATTAGCTAAAAAAAACTCTTAAATATAATAAAAACTATTTTTGTCCATAATATATGTTTAAACATGGATAAAGCGAAGTATCTAACAACTGCTAAAAACCAGGAAATAACAAAGTTATTCTCTCACATACCAAACGTGTTATGAATTGAGTTGGATCTTTTCTAATTGATCTCTTTAGCTCTAAGTTGAAATGATGATCCCTCTTCCCGTTTTGACCTCCTGATCCAGTTTTCCTCTCCACTGTTCCCTCTTTTTAAAACTTATTCACCATTCTCTTGATGGTCCTTTAATGGACTTTGAATATGGAATCCAGAGTATGAATGTTGGTAGCATTACTAAAAGCCTGAATGATCTTTTTCCTCTCACCATTGCTCAGTTGGGAGGACATAGTGGAGCTGAAACAAAACAATTTTAGCCTGTTCTCTTTCTAGTTAAATAACTCAAAAGGTTTTCCAGTGACAAACGATGGCTAAATGTCTTATTTGTAAACCTGGAAAAAAGAAACTCAAATAGTTCAGTGTTTTTTTTTTGTTTTTTTTTAGATATTAAACATTTGGTGGGATGGACAATTATCCGATGCTGTTACACGATTTGGACAATTTTGCTCTTACAACCGGTATATGAAATTCTTGATTTAGCGAGACTATTTAAGAATATATACACGCAAAGCAACACACACACGCGCGCGCATCAGTAGCAGCAGCAGCCAAGAAATGGAAGAATCCCTGGAGATTCAGAGTTTCTCGATGTGGAATTGGAACCAGCGTCTGTTGTATTACATCGCCAATTGATCAAAACTTTCATGTGAAGCATTTAGTCCTTTCTGACTTCATCTGAATAAAGTTTACGTTGAGGTATCTGAAAACCTGGAAAAAAAGAAACTCAATTAGTTTAGTGATGTTTTAGATATTAAACATTTTGGGAGATATAGTTATCTCATGCGGTTGCACTATTTGGACAATTTTGGTGTTACACCCGGTGTATATATATATATATATATATATATATATATATATATATCCAGGATCATTTTCCAACTAATTCAAGATTATCTTTGCCCTTTCTAACTTTCTAACTTTCTGTCATGGAGTAAGAAGGAACTTCACAGGTTTCACGTACGATTTCATTTTCAAGTCTTTTTTCACTGATCTTTGGACTATCATACTTGAAACTTTTCTCTCACATGCCAAACATCCTATCAATTAAGTTGGATCTTTTCTAATTAATCTCTTTAGCTCTAAATTGAAATGATGATCCCTCTTCCTGTTGTGACCTCCTGATCCAGTTTTCCTCTCTACCATTCCCTCCTTTTTAAACTTATTCACCATTTTCCTGATGGTTCTATGGCCTATAAAGATGGAAACCAGAGTATGAATATTGGTACCATTACTGAAGGCCTGAATGATCTTTTTCCTCTCACCATTGCTCAGTTGGTATAAGACAGTGGGTCTAACACAAAACAATTTTAACCTGCTCTTTTTTAAGGGTTTTTTCCAGTGATTCCTATGAAAAATGGTATGAAGATAGCTAAATGACTTATCTAAAAACCAGGAAAAAAAGAAACTCAATTAATTTAGTGGTATGTTTAGATATTAAACATTTGGTGGGATGGACAATTATCCCATACTCTAACACGATTTGGACAATTTTGCTGTTACACCCGGCATATTTCCAAACTGCCATGCCCCTTCAGAACATCGATGACCATGTTTCTCGACTAGTTTTGTCTTGCTTTTATTATCTATGAATTAGGAAACAACGCCACTATCATTCTCGAGATAAGGGAGTGGTTATCCGTTGCTTTCTCAATGGTTCCAAATCTGATTTCAGAGGAGTCTTTCTACTGGATTGATTGTCACTGGTGGGCGGTGAGAAGTGATCAATTCTTAACATTACCCCAATGGCATTCGTGCGAAAATGGACGCATTAGCTTAGACCGCGATTTGATCCTTGATCGGCCATTCCCTTTTCCAAGCGCTTTTCTAACATGGCGACCAAATTTATGCGTTTTTTTTTTTTTTGTTTTTTGTTTTTTTTTTTGTTTTGTTTTTTTATAGCGAACTGGTAACATACGATATTCTGGTAAATGACTTACAGTGTTGAAAAGTCACCAAGGAGGTCCAAAAAGTTTTATTTAATAACAAAAAAAAGCAACAACAACAACAAAAAAAAAAAAAAAAAAAAGAAAGAGGCACACGTGGCGTAGATTATTCCAAAAGACCTACAAACACTGGCGCTAAAAAAAACCCTTCCCTTTTCTCGAACCACCCATACCCCAAATTCTGTCCGTTTACCGTCAACCCTCCAACTATCCCCAACCACCCCCTAGTGATAAAACAGATAGATAGATAGATAGATAGATAGATAGATAGATAGATCTGTACAGATAGATAGATAGATAGATAGATAGATAGATAGATAGATAGATTTGTACAGACTGATAGATAGATAGATTTGTAAAAACAGATAGATAAATCTGTACAGACTGATAGATAGATAGATAGATAGATAGATAGATAGATAGATAGATAGATAAAACAAATTTTGACAGATAGATAGGTAGATAATGAACAGAATGAGATAGATAGATAGATAGATAGAAAGAAATAAATATATAAAAATAAATAAATACATAGAGATAGATAGATAGATAGATAGATAGATAGATAGATAAAACACACTGAGATAAATAGATAGATGAGATAGATAGATAGATAGATAGATAGATAGATAGATAGATAGAACAAATTTTGAAAGATAGATAGATAGATAGATAGATAGATAGATAGATAGATAGATAAAACAAATTTTGACAGATAGATAGATAGATAGATAAAACAAATTTTGACAGATAGATAGATAGATAGATAGATAGATAGATAGATTAGTTAGGGGTGGGGTCTAGTTGGAACTCCGGCAAAATGATCTCCAAAACAGTCAAGAAGATACGGTAATGGATTTAAGAGGCGGCCGGTGGTGATAGCGGTAGGGAAGAGGACGTGGCGATGGTTGAAGGTTTGACAATAGTTGGGAGCAGAGTCTCTTTGATGACGGTAAGAAGTGGTATTGTCTTGATGTCAGCTAGTCAGGACATTTCGGTTTGTCTGATGGAAGCAGGTGTTAATCTCGGGGTACGTCACCTAGCACACCTGATGGACTGGTGATCGGGGAATGTCTCGCTTTTCTGGTCAGGTAAAAATGGATAGCGCTGCTAGTCAGTGGTGTGGCGGAGGTAAGCTAGGATATTATCTAGTTATGGAGTGGAACTGATGTGGAAGGTAACGAGGAGGTAATGTCGTATTTTGGGGAGTTTGATAACAAATTAGCATACTTTAGAGATGAGCACTGGATCAGGAGGTCAAAACTGAAAAAGGGATCATCATTTCAACTTAAAACTAAAGAGATCAATTAGAAAAGATCCAACTCAGTTCATAAGACGTTTGGCATGTGAGAGAATAACTTTGTTATTTCCTGGTTTTTAACAGTTGTTAGATACTTCGCTTTATCCATGTTTAAACATATATTATGGACAAAAATAGTTTTTATTATATTACATAGGTTTCTAGGTAATATTAGTTTATTCTTAATACTGCCTTCAGTCAATCCATTTTCGTAAATTCGAAATATCCCAAAAACTAACCATTAAAAATGGCAGCAAATTTATTTAAATATTTTACTAAAGATGGAAATAGACGAGTTTAAATTTGACAAATATTGGTTCAGAACTTTTTGTTTTTTTGAAGTTTATTTGATTTTCATAATAACTTCAGACAGGCTGTAGATACTTTCCTCGAGCAGGACTTCGAACTTGTTGTCCAAGGTAAACTCCCTTGCTTAAGGCTAAAAGCCAAAAATGTATATTAGTTTATGTTAGAAGCCATCTAGAACATGGGAGTAAATATTGGAACACTGTTTTATGGTCAGATGAAACCAAACTTGAATTATTTGGTCAGATGAACTCCCGTTATGTATAGAGGAAAATGAACGAAGCTCACAACCCCAAAAAAAGAAATACCCTCCCTTCAATTAACTCCGGTGGGGGATCATTTCGTACACCTAGTGCTCAAGTTGATTCCAATTAGATGCAAAGATTGCAGTAGCGTCTTGCGAGTGATCCTTTCGAACAATCGATCTATTGGTTTCTTCATGGTCACAACAAAGGACATTGACTTTTTATTTGTAAATACATCTATCTGTATAAATGTTACTGCCATATTTAGTTTGATCTTCCTTTTCTACAAAGAGCATTTCTTCGCGTCGTAGAAAAAATTGTGTTGTATTTATCGACACGACACTCGGATTTTATTTTTCCTCCTAAAATCCGAAGATTCAAAAACAGATCACAGCGTATGCTCTTAGAAAGATCATTAATATAGGAAAAGGGTAGGACCTACAAGAGAACTCTGAGGAAGGCCAGCATTGACCTTCTGGGTTTTCGATGATTGGTAGTCAACAACGAACTTCAGGAACCTCCCTGTTAGGAAATATTTGATAATTGAAAAAGCCGTTACCAGAGATTCCATAGCTGAAGAGTTTGTGGAGCATCTCCAGATGTCATACTTTGCCAGGGGCTTTGGATATATTTAGAGAACAAGGACCTTCGTGATGAATTTATTATCTTGAGCCTTGCTGATTCTGCGACATTAAAACATCAATTGTGGATCTAGCAAGACCAAATTCATACTGGTTATCGCACAGGAGGTTCTTCCTGCTATGGCGTTCAACAACCTGTCTATATTTATGAGATGAGGTATCATAATTATTTACACTATTTACATTGTTCGGACTGTTGTCGTTCACTTTCTGAGCGACTGTTCGGTTAATCTCTCTTCCTACGGGCGGGAGGAACCCGAAGGAGGCTACGCCGAAGGGCGGAGTCTCCTTCGGGGAGGTAAAACCGGCCCTGAACCCGTTTATACGGGTTCAAATGGGCTATTTTTTGGCCGAGCCTAATGGCTTGGGAATTGCCCACGTTAAAAAGGCCTTGTGCCACATGACACCCTTGTGGGGGGGGTGACTGAATATCGTCATCTTTGTTGCAATATTCACGACGTTTCGGCCGTTGTACAATCCGACCTTCTTCAGGATCTGTCTATATTTCCGAGATGAGATATTATAATTATTTACACTACTTACATTGTTCGGACTGTTGTCCTCATCTTTGTTGCCATATTTACAACATTTCAGCTGTTGTACGCCTCGGCCTTCTTCAGGTGATTGAAATTTCGAACCGAATTTTTTATTCCGTCCATCATCTGAGTTCTTCTTCGGAATCTGTACTGAACAAGGGTCTCAACTTCCCAACAACCATCAAGCGGATACCATACTTAGACATCATGGCCCGAATCGAGGAAATAAAATCGAACATTACCCAGGCTCGGGCAGATGAGCTAAGATGGAAAGTGAGACAGATACTGGAGAAAGCCAAGCCACCCAAATCAAACATCACAAAACTGGAGAGGCTGACAATCAAAACCCTACAGAGGAATGACATCATCATCATCATCCTACCAGCTGACAAAGGCAATGCGACTGTAGTGATGGACAAAACAGAATATACTGGAAAATACAGGCCACAACAAAGGATATTGACTTTTTATTTGTAAATACACCTATCTGACTGTATAAATGTTATTGTCATATTTAGTTTGGTCTTCTTCCTTTTCTACGAAGAGCATTTCTTTGCGTTGTCAAGGGCTTTGGATATATATATATAGAACAATGACCGTCGTGATGAATTTACACACATCTATTGGCGTGTCATACCACTTGATTTCCTCACTTGTGACAAAAAACTTCGAAACTTTGCCATCTCACTTGCGAGAAATCCTCTCGAAGAATCGAACTATTGGTCACTTCATGGCCACAACAAAGGACATTGACTTTTGATTTGTAAATAATTCTATCTGACTGCATAAATGTTACTGGCATATTTATTAGGTTGGTGCAAAAATAATGACGTAATAATGTCGTTTTTGACGTATTTTTAACGTCAAAAACGACATTCTTACGTCATTATTTTTGCACCAACCTAATAGTTTGGTTTTCTTCCTCCATGGCCACAACAAAGGATATTGATGTTTTATTTGTAAATACACCTATCTGACTGTATAAATGTTATTGTCATATTTAGTTTGGTCTTCTTCCTTTTCTACGAAGAGCATTTCTTCGCGTTGTAGAAAAAACCGCGTTGTATTTATGGACTCGACACTCGGATTTTTCTCCCTAGAATCCGAGTAGACTGACCCCACAGAACTACTGTATTGAGAAGAAAAGGTAGAAATTCCCTCGTGTATTAACAATTTCGGTACGTCTCTGGAATCTATATTTTAAAAAACCATACCCCTTCACTACATAGACGGTCTTCATTCTCTTATTTCATTGATCATGGAGATTTCAATCCGTTGCAAATATCCCTGCAACTAATTGCTAAATCACAGTTTACGATATTAACCATGCGTTTTGTATTGTTATAGCATATATCTTTACAGCAGTGTTTCTCAACCTTTTTTTTTTTAACTTCAGGACGCACTTGTTGAATAACTAAAAAGCTTTGGGGTACTTTAAATTTTCATAAGGAAAAATTAGTCATGAAATTTGAAAACAGGATAATAAGAAAGGAGTCTCCTGAAATAAGCATTTTTTTCTAAGACATTTCATTGTATATTTAAGTATGCTTGTATGAAACCTGTACTTGATGGCCTTTGGCAATTTTTGAATATTAGGTCTTGTATGTGATAAACACACTCTCATAAAATTATCTGAGAAATAATAAAAAAAAATATAAAGTTTTCTTATTTTTTCTTTTCCAATAAAGGCGACTAAAACTTATTTGTTTATTCTTTGATTTGCGAATAAAAAAAAAATGGAAGATTTTTTTTCTTTTCTTTATTTTAGTGCAGTCTAGAGAAAACGGAATTAGACATGAGACGAGAGAAAAATGTATTCTTTTATAAATTACGCTATGTACAGTTACTTTGGTGTTTTTCAGATTTCTCATTTATTTTTCAGAGAGAATTTTCACGGATCATATTTAGGGACATTCAATGAGGGTCAAGTGACAGCAAGGCTTTTCAGCTCTCCATCATTCACCTAAATATTCCTTCTTATTATTATTAAATCTAATAATGTCAACCGTAAAATTCAGTATTAATTATATGAATAATAATAATAATAATAATAATAATAATAATAATAATAATAATTGAAATCTCAAAAATGAATTTGAAAACTATCAAAATACAAACAAATTGAAATAGAAAAAATGTGGAAATTGAAAACAAGAATAATACCAGTGGTAATAGGTTGCTTGGAATTATAAAAAATGGAACAAAACAACACATTGAAAAGAATCCTGAAACCCCAGCCCTACAGAAAATTGTCTTATGGAAAACTAAGGAGAACTTTGTCTATGTAACGACTTCATCGGAGATAAAAAAAAAAAAAAAAAAATTAACATGAAATGTGGCCATAACAACACACCACGACCTGCCTTAGGTTTTCCATGTGTGTCCATAAAAATAATAATAATAATAATAATGAAATCTCAAAAATGTGGCACATGGGAACATCAACAATCTCTGTTGTATTCCCTCACGAATACTGAAAAGCCCTGGAATTCCATGCCTTAAAAAAATACAAAAGATTATTCTCACGAATACGGCCCACACCTTACGTATGCAAAATATGTTTGCTGTTGCTCTTCTTCTTTTTTAAAATTAATCAGTAGAGAATGTCATGAAGCCATTTCTAACCTTAGGTCGCTGGTTGGGACCCGGAAAGAAATGAGTAGACACCAGAAAGCAAAAGAAATTAAACAACAACAACAACAATAACAATAATGATCTTTGATTTACGAATTAAAAAATATCTGACATTTTTTTACATTTCTTTTTCTTTTCTTTATTTTAGTGCAGTCTAGACAAAACTGAATTAGACATGAGACGAGACAAAAATGTATTCTTTTATAAATAAACAGATCACAACATTTATCAGAGAGATTAAATTTAAATTTTTAATATTGCATTATTCCAAAATTTTAACCCATCGGCAGATAGCTATTAATGTGAAAAACTGAGCACAAATAGTTATTAATTAAAAATATTAGTAATTAATGCATAATATTATCCATAACTATATGTACAAGAATGTCGTTTTTGATAAAAGTTAAAAAAAATAACCATAAATACATAAAAATGCGTATATTGTCGAAAATTGCTTTTTCCACTTTAAAGCTCTTTGTGCTATGTTATAATGCTTATTACCTAAACAATAATAATGTTTGGGTTTTTTTTAAATAAAACTGGAAATGAAAGAAAAGAAGAAACAAAATGTTTTCTTCTAATTTATTTACTTTAAAATCGATGTTTCGTAACACCTGGTCTGGCGTTAACTAAAGACTCGCAACAATTGAATAAGACGCAAATGTCTAAACAGAAATCATTGAGGTAAAAAAATAATTTTAGGCGGATATAACAATGGAATTCAATACAGAATTCAATTAGTAACACATAAAAGAAAACCTATGGCATTACACACAACATACAAATAACAAAGTTCATTTATCTCAAGTGAGCGTGTAGTGGATCTAAGAAGGATGCGTGAATATTTAAGATTGTACTGCAAATAAAATATGCAATATCCACAAACATAAATTATAAGAAATGGCCAAATGGTAACGATATTGAATCACGACAAAAAAATACATGTTTGAAACAACAGATTAAATTTTATATACACAATTTACAATTTCTTTGTTTGTAATGATGTGTGCAAAGGTATAAAGAAAAAGTTCTTTGCTGTTTCGGAAATGTGCAATGTCTAAAAGAGCCTTTATCCAATGGATAAAGGATAAAGGCGTTGGCTAGATCCAGTGACAGAACCCAAAGAGTGTGAGTTCAATACCCGGTCAAGGCAGTAGAGAACTTTCAGAGGGAAATTAACAGGAGATAAATGATAACTGACATCCATTAAACATGGCACGTGGAACTAGAACAGTCTACCCCAGTGAGCGAAATTAAGGGTTCAGTTCGACATTCCAACCACCTGAAGAAGGCCGGAGCGTACAACGGCCGAAACGTTGTAATAAATATGGCGGCAAAGATGGGGACAATAGTCTGAATAATGTAAATAATGTCTAAAATATTGTCTGCCTTTGATTGAAAGGTTGAATTAACTTAGACAAAAGATTTTTCTATGAAAGATTTTAAGTGAAAAAGTTTGTTTTATGAATTTTTCTAATCTCTCATAAAGAAAGTTTGTTTCTTTGGCGGCAATTTTGACACATAATTTCCGTGTGTATCTTTGCGTGTGTGAGTCTCAAAATGCGACGAAAATTCGTTTGCTGTTTCTATTTATAGTTTTTTTTTTTAACAACAAAATCGGCTCCAGCGGCTTGGTAAGCTTATTGCGAATTTTTCTGAGAAATGCGCGGGCGAATATTGTATTTTTTTTATTTTTTAGCCAATAGGATTTCTTGAAACATTTAAATTAAGGATGAATTTGAGAAAGATTTTTTGTCAGTTGAGCCTACTTTTGCACAAATTTTGACTGTTTTGTTATAGAAATTTCTCGAAGCTTATTTTTTATGTAACAACCAATGAAATTCAAGAAAATGTTTGAAAATTGAGGGTTACTAAACGCGTTTCATTGAAGAATATTTTCTTCTGTCATAAGGGACAATTCCACAGTCAATGAGGCGTCATGATTTGAACGTTTATTAGTCATGAAATTTGAAAATAAGAAATGTATGTATGCTTGGGCCATCATGTAAGTTTTCGATTCATGATTAGCAGAAGTATTCCCTAATTGCCAATTATACAACCCAGTCTGTCCTACTATTTAACCCATAGTTGGAGGAAGAAGAGACAGATGCCGGTATTTGCGCATAAGTTAATGAGATAGATAGATAGATAGATAGATAGATAGATAGATAAAAAATAAACATACTGACATAGTGTTGTGGTGTCCTCCCTCTAAAGAGTCTATGTTGGACTCTTCCGCCTACTATAAGATTAGTAGGAGAGAAGGCCTTGGGGGAACAGATTGAAAGCTGGGTCAACCGGCACCCACTCACTAGTTGTGTAATACTATTCTGTTGTACTTACTGTTTAATATATGATATATCTGCAACACTTGTTTTGTTATTTCTTAACCATTTACTTGGTCACATTTTGGCGCCGAAGGATTCGAAGAAACGGACTTCACGTTAAATCATAAAAAAAATTTACCAGTGTTAACAACAGATAGATAGATAGATAGATAGATAGATAGATAGATAGATAATAAACATACTGAAATAGATAGATACATAGATAGATAGATGTGTGTTTTCTTAAATTCAAGCCACAAGATCTACTGGTTTAATTTCAAATATTTAAAAGAACCTTTAAAAGCCTTTATTCTACATTCAACACCATCACTTGATAAGACACCAGAAGTGTTTAAACAAAATGGGTATTTTTTTTAGTGATTTTATAACATATTTATGTTATAATTTTGGAATAAATAATTATATTTGCTCTACTCTGTATTGAGCACTATTTTAAGAATAGTATTTGTTGGTTATTGAAATTTATTGGAAACCTATACTTGGGTATATATATATATATATATATATATATATATATATATATATATATATATATATATACTGAGTGCGAAAGAGCTTGTTGACGAAAGATTTAATGTAATATAAATGGTAGACCCCAACTCTCCGATCCGGTGTGTTGATATGCGATCATAAAGTTTGCACTGAGAATTCATGAATCATAGCTCTCAGTGGTGGAGGTACTGTGACGCAAGCTACTTAAATCGTTAGAAAATCATAATGAAGTCTTTACTTTCTTTCAACTCACCAGTGGGCGGGCGAGCCAACGAGGGCCGAAGGTAATGAGAGACAACACAATAATAAACTAACAAAGAAACGGTAAAATAAGAAGGCAAAGGCGGTTTGTGAGGCTAGCTACGTTTTTGTATTTTTGTTGTCCCCCCCCCAGTGGAAACACTTAGTAAAATGGCGCAAGGGAGAAGTTCCTGCGCCGCAGGTTTTGCAAAGGGTTGACACAGTCAGTACAAAAGCAGAAGTCATTTAATTTTTTTTTTAAGCGTTTCACCCCAAGCAAGGCGAGAAGCCACTAGGACGCAAGGAGTTACAGAAGATTTGGAGCAAGATCAGATAGAAGTGATAGAGGAAAAAATGAGGATAAAGATAGTGGATAGATCAAGGCAACTGGAGATGTCGATTGATATTACATTTGAATAGCTGGAGATTATAGCTCTCAGGGAAACTAGAATAGGGAAGGGAGTTCCGCAGGCGAGAGGTGCGAGACATGAAGCTATTGGAGTAGAAGAGACGGCTACATTTAGGAGTTTCGACAGTGAAGGGGTGAGAGCGGGATTCCAGCCTCGTAGGGCGCTTGAACTCATGAACTCTTGGAACCAGCAAATGCAGCTCCTTGGAGCAATTACCATGAAAGTATTTGTAAAAAAGACAGAGAGAGGCGACGGCATGTCTGTGAGAGAGCGACTGTAGACGAGATGCCAGAACAGGGCCAATTATATTGCATATCCGCCTCTGGATCTTATCAAGAACCCCGAGGCCAACAGAAGGGGTTCCAGACCACATATGGCAGCAATAATCCATGCAAGGGCGAATTGTTGATTTGTAGATCTGGAGGATCGATTCCGGGGAGAAAAATTTCCTGGCGCGGTACAGGGAGCCAAGTGGCAAACCAGTGATTGTAGTGATGGCGGCAACCAACTACGCCGTGTTGAATGCCTCCGGCATCGTTTCCTCGGCTTCATAGTCGGTGTGTTCCGGAACGACAACGCAGTTAAGACTCCGAAGACTTGAAGTTATAAACAATCAAATGGCATGACAGGCGCCCACCTCCAAAATCATGTTCTTTACAGAATTCTGCGAAGACACAATAGTAATATACACTCCTCAAAGTAAAACAGAATCAAATTAACGGAACAGAAAAAAAAAAACAGAATAAGAGACGATGTAAAATAGACCTAAGGCCTAAGAGCCACTCGAGGTAGAAGGTTACAGATTAAGAGGCTGAGCTTACGCGGATATGTGGAAAGATAACGGTTAACTCTAGATCTGAACAGGTTAAGATTGTAGTGATTGGGGAAGCACCCCTTTAGGAGTCGGTTCCACAAAGTAGTGGTTCGTTGGAAGAAGCTACTCGAGTGGAACTTAGGTCTCACTAATAGAATATGAAGGGAATGAGGGTGGTTCACTACATGGTGGGCCTTAGCCGTGAAGGTTAGAACTGATGGCTCGAAGAAGTGTTGTTCGTCTGAGCATTTTCTATGCAAATGGCGATAGAGCAGTGAAAGACTTGCAATGTTTCGCCTGCGAGAAAGATGTTGTGGATTAGGAAATAATTCATCACCCACAAGGACGCAGAGACGCTTTTTCGAGACTGGAAAGTGAAAGACTGGACAGCTCCTACCCGTAGTCTAGCAGTGGTTAATTTTCGGCCTGCACGATGAGTTAGGTACTCACTGGAGCGCTACAGGGAACCGACCATCTTTCTACGTTTTGGTTAGAAACTATATCCGACAACAAGGCCTCTGGTCGGGATGTCTTGAAGAGCATGGAACCACCTCTTTAGCGCTGTTTATCCCAGTTCCACGCTGACCCGGGTGGTAGCACCTATTAGGATCCCAACTATGGGCAAATATTTAACCCTAAAACTGCGGTCAAAACAATATGAAAATATAGAAATACATTTTTATAGTAAAAATAAGAGAAATACATTTTCATAGTAAAAAAAAAATACCAGCAGTACATTTTTGTAAAAAATATTACAAGCAATACAGTTTTGAAAAAAATTAAAGAGAATAAAAAAAAAACTTCCAGCAATACATTTTTGGGAAAAAATAATAAAATAATTACAGTAATACATTATTGAAAGCAAAAATATTACGAGCAATACATTTGTGTAAAAATTTAAAAAGACATTTTTTTTAAATTGCCAGCAATACATTTTTGTAAAAAATTAAAATTACCAATTAAAATTATATTATTTTGAAAAAAAATATTGCCAGTAATACACTTTTGAAAAAATATATTACCAGCAATACGTTTTATTAAAAATATAAAGAAAATTAAAAATATGAAAAAAAATATTAGCAGCAATACATTTTTGGAAAAAAAATTAAAAAAAATATATATTACCATTTTTTTTTAAATATTAAAAAAACAAAATTATTACCAGCAATACATTTTTGGAAAAAAATAAAACAAATATAATAACATTTTTAAAAAAATATATATAAAAAATATTACCAGCAATACATTTTTGGAAAAACATAAAACAAATATAGTACCATTTTTTTTTAAATATATATAAATAAAATATTACCAGCAATACATTTTTGGGAAAAAAATAAAAAATATAGTACCATTTTTTAAAAAATATTGAAAAAAATAAATAATACCTGCAATACATTTTTGGAAAAAAAAATAAAACAAATATATTACCATTTTTCCAAAATATATAAAAAAAAAATAAAAATATATAACAGCAATACATGTAAAAAAAAAAAAAAAAAAACATATTACCAGCAATACATGTTTGGAAAAAATAAAACAAATATATTACCTTTTTTAAAATATATATATATATATATATATATATATATATATATATATATATATATAGATAGATAGATAGATAGATAGATAGATATTAAAAAAGCAATACATTTTCGAAAAAATAGAACAAATATATTACCATTTTCTAAAAATAGATATATAAAAATATTACCAGTAATACATTTTAGTAAATGAAATTACTTATGCTCTCAAGAAAATCAAATTTCGGCATTAAATGACCCATAAGGTGTTGATATGCCGTTCAACAAACAAACCATTTTTCCAGCATCTTTAGAGCATCATGGATCGTATGTAGGGGTTCCATTTGCGTTCTCAATTGAGCTTAAGTCCCAAGTCTCAAGACACGGGGTCTGCATAAAAAAATGTAAGTGGGGACATAGGAAAAAATACTGTATAATGACATTTTCACGCCTCAATACGATCTTCACAGGTCCCTGTCTTTATAAACACTCTATCTCCGACAGTGAGAACTCTTACCCAATAAATATCGCATATTTTAATTTTATATATATATATATATATATATATATATATATATATATATATATATACACCAGCAAAATCAAACTTACACCGAACGAAAATTATCTATGAGTTCAAATGCCCCTTAAGAAACTGTTCCTAATCAAACCGAATTCAGAAATAATTACATAGGTCACACAACTACATGCCTATCCAGACGCCTTACGTTACACCTATCTGACAATAGTTCTATTTGATTCCATTTAAATACGCACACAAACTTACCAGACTCCATCCGAGACATACTAGTCGAAAATACAAATATAATAACCTCATCCACATGTAAAAAAGATTAAAAATAATGGAAGGCTTAATAATAAAAAAAAAAGCCAACACTCAATAATATTAACTACGAACACGGCCACAATGTGCTGACTGTGTTCGGAAAATAAAACATCGCTATAACTCAAAAACATACACACATCCCACACACCCAATTAAACTGAATAAATAAAATCATCCTTAATAATGGCTAAAAGTATTACCAAAACTACTCGAAATTATAGAACATTTGGAAAGTTTCTGCCCACTCTGTCCCAAAAATAAAACACTTGTTCGAACACAAGAAAAATTAAATAAAAAGCTTAATCGTAGTACCTTGTCAGTCGTCTTTAATGAAACATGAATAAATGAAGGATTGCTGCCTAAATACACAATATATATATATATATATATATATATGGGGGAATGTTTTAGTGTGTGTGCGTGTGTTTTTTTAGTGTGTGTGTGTACACGAGAGGTTTCCAGAAAGTTCTCGGATCAACCAAGAATGGATTCCGAAATAAAATCAAAGCCACATTTTTTGGTGGGGTGGGGGTCAAATGCGGCGCCAAAGCAAACACATGTAATTAAAACGTATGAAGTGAATCCTATTCTGATTCGACATGAAGATAACCAGACAAACAACATACCAATAAGCCAAGTTTTGCTGCAGGAATATTAGGGTAAAATTAACTTTATGATGCTGGCTGAAGTTAGTCTGGTTAATCTAATGCCATGTCAACCTTCTTTTTGTTCGTTAATGTTGAATACAAAACTCATAGGTCGAAAATCACTATGACTATTTTTTTATATTATAATTGTTAATTGATAAAAGTCTTACTAATTAACGCATAGCGGTGGGGAGATGAGATGAATTAATATCTTTCCCAAGGGTATTTGCGCGTAAGTAATGATA